AACAAGCCAGTAGCACAATAGTATAGGCCAAAAAACGGGCACATCAAACATGGAAAAGAAGGTCATCACAAATGCAACACAGAAAGCTTTTGTGATGGCATACCTATAAAACCCCAAAATTAAGACACATCATTAACATATTAACACATCATTAGCAAAACTTAAATCGACGTATAAATTAAAAAATAGTAATAATAAATAAAAATAAATCAATTTAAGTCTCTTCATCGTTTCACTTTGAACCTTTTATTAAGAGTATTCGTCCTCAAATCAGAAAGAAAATTATTTGCCTTAACTTACATATATAAAACCACAACATTCAAAGAATTTTTTATATCCAAAAAAATAAAAAAAGGGAATATCAGAACCAGAAATAGACCTAGCAAGTACCGATGCATGATACTGAATAAAGGAATGATAAACAAAAGAAGCATGTCAAATACACGACAAAATATCAATTTCAAGAACACGATAAACTTATACACGATAAACTTATAAAAGTCAAACCTCAATGTGACAAAATAATATATAAATACCAGAATTTGAATTCAGGGAGGCGGCGAATGAAAGGTTTGAATTCATCAGAACCCTTTGTAGGCAGCATAGGACCGTCTGAGGGTTCAGCCTCGGGGTCGACAAGTGGCGACAAAAACCCAATGAGGAGATTGAGAATGTAGATACCCAAACCGTAGGTAACAATGTAGAAGCCCTGAATGTAGTAAACCCTAAGGGCGTAAACACACACTAAAATGAAAGATCCGATCCATCGATGCAGAGAGTGAGGAGTCGATTTATCTAAGTAGTGCTGGAAAAGTTTCGACACGTCGTGCCTTCGCTGGTTCAGTGCTGCAGCTGCTGTTGAGGGACCATCACCTCCAACCCCCTCCATGATTATGTTCGAACCTTAAAAATCCTATAAAAATAAAAAAGAATCTTCAAAACAAGGAATCAACTATAAAGAATATACCATAACAAACACAAGAAATTTCTCCAATAAAAGAACATCCATAAAGAAACCCTAGCTCTAATTTACTTTGTTAGCAATACCGACACTAAAAGAGAGCTCAAAATCGGAAAACACCTCTAGCCAAAAGTTTAAAATCAACTCAAATGAAAATGAGGCACAGACTTTTGCTTACGGTAAAAATCTTGTAAATCCGTCAAAGCAAACTTAAATTCGATGATCAATTACTTCCACTGGCCTTACTGTCTCGATACACTACGACGCCTAGAAAAATAAATAATAATTGCAGAAATTAATCCTTTTTAGCAAAGGAATCAATCCAAAATCAAACGGAACAGCAATCCCAGCGTCGAAACCGAAGGACAACTATAAAGAATATAACCTAACAAACTCAACAAATTTTTCCAATAAAAAAAAAATCCATAAAGAAAACTCCAGCCCTAGTTTACATTGTTAGCAATACCGACACTATAAGAGAGCTCAAAATCCGAAAACACAAAGCCAAAAGTTCAATCAACTTAAATGAAAAGTGCAGCTGAATAAAATGTGCAAGAAAAACGAGGCACGCATTTTACTTGCAGCAAAGAGCTTTGTAAATCTGTCCAAGTCAAACTTAAACTCTTTGATCTTCAATTATTTTTCTCGAGGATAAACACTTAAACACCCAAAATTTCAAACTAATTGCAAAAACCAACCCCCTTATCAGAAAGGAATTAATCCAAATTAGAGGGAACAGTAATCCCAATATTGAAACCCGACGACGACTTAAAAAAAATTATACCCTAACAAACACAAGAAACTTCTCAATAAAACACATCCATAAAGAAAACCCCACCCCAGTTTAGACCAACACTAAAACACAGCTCGAAATCGGAAAAAACCCGACCGCAGATTTAATCAACTCAAACGCAAAAGTGCAGCTGAATAAATTGGGTATCGAAAAAAAACAAGGCACAAACCAATCAAACTTACATTCCTTCAATGTATTTTCCTCCAACCTTATTTTTCTCGATTATAAAAATTCGAACTAATTGCAAAAAAAACTCAATATTCAGAGTAGAAGCAATCTAAATCAAACATAACAGTAAACCCAGCACTGAAACCAAACAACCAATAGAACCAGATCTGAAAAACAGCATATTCCCCAAATTAAGAAAACCTAGTCTTCGATTAAAATCACATGAATATTCATTCACCAACAAAACAGCAAAAAAAACTGTGAATCGATCGATAAAAGTAAGTAACGAGATTGGATTTACCTTCGACGGAAATACGGAGAAGGAATTTCTTCGGGGGGGTTTTATCTCAGAGGTGAAAATTATGAGTTTCGGATGTGTGTGGGAGTTGAAATCTGTGCGAGAGAGAAATACTAACGAAATTACACCATTAAAACGACGTCGGTGGACGATTACACAATGGGGAATATGCTGATATACATGGATAATATGGTCATTTAACAACAACATATAGTCAATGAAGGACTTCTTTTCTCGGTATGACTACAATATATACTAGGGCTGTGCGTTGGTTGGTTTGGGTAAAAACCAGGCAGAAAACCAACCCAACCCATCCAACCAACTTTAGTAAATATTGGAAACCGTTATCGACCCATTTTACATGGGTTGGGTGATGGTTGAGAACCAATTTGGTGGGTCGGTTGGTGGTTTGGTTGATGGGTCATCCATCTAATTTTTTTTTTATTTTTTTTAATATTTTATTAGTTGTTTCAACGCTATATCTTTTATAAATTAAATGTGACTAGTTCAACAATATTCAAAATAAAATATTCAAAACATTACGGGCATATATATTGCAATTAAACATAAATATTTCAACAAATAATAATCGTCCAAATATTTAGGCTATGTTGTAAAATTAAAATAGTTCAAATTAGATAATTATGTTAGATTTATTGCTTTTAGGATTTTGTCAATATTAGACAATTTAATAAATGTGATATAAAATAGAAATTTGAAATTAAAAATATTAAACATTTTAATTAAAATTAATAAATAATAAATTAATAAATAAAGTTGGTTGGCCGATATTAACCGACTAACCAACTTTTTAACATATTAGAAACCATTATCGACCCAACTATACATGGGTTGGTTGATATTATCGACCCAACTTAAATGGGTCGGTTGATGGTTGATTATCCATCACAAATTATGGGTCGAAAATGGGTTGGTTGGTGGTTAAAACCGATCCATGCACAGCCCTAATATATACTTCCTATTTTTCTTTTAACCCTATTTTTTCTCTACATTGCTATATGTTGTATTTTTTTTATTTTTTATTAATATTATTATAAATTATATTTTAAAAATTTGGAAAAATGACTTTTATTTATTTTTAATAAATATTTATATGAGTTCATTAAACTTTTCATTCTGCAAACAGTTTCATATAATTAGTATATGAATGTCACGGTAACAACAAGATTGGTGATATATACGTAAACAATAAGTCTACACGTGCGATCACGTAAAGATAAGAAACACAATCGAAACCATGAAACGAATAACAGTCATTTCATATTCAGAAAAACATCAGAAGAAACTATGTACCAATCATTCACAAAAACACAAAAACAACTCTAAATTGGAAAAAAAAATATTCAAATTACAATCGTTTTATTCAAAACAAAAACAAACGAAAATGTTCCCTCCTCCCGATCATTCACAAAAAGCAAACACTCAGTTCGGCCCTGCATTGAAAAAAGATCAGAAATGAACAAAAAATTAGAGAATTATTAAATTGAAAACAAGCCAGATGAAACCCTTACCATTTGAATTGTTGTAGTGATAACTACTCCAATTCCCATTACACGAAGGGTATTGTAAATCAAGTTGTGCACCACTGGGGTATAAATCATTGAATTACCAACAGGGGCCATTTGGTGCGGAATTTAAGAGTCATGCTGAGGCTGAAACCCATTAGTCATCACGGCTTGGTTGGGGCAATGACCCGGAAAAAGGCCATTACCAATCATAGATTGGGCTGGATAAAAGCCACTGTATGGAGAGATCCATTAGTACTCGTCTAGGCATTAAGAGGCCCGTTATGGGCAACAAGAGGCAATAGGAGGCCCGTTGTGAGCAACATGATGAGAGTTGTGGGCATTAAAATGCCTATTATGGGCAACAACAGGATAGTTATTTGCAACACAAGGACAATTGTTAGCATTATGAGTCAAGTTGTAGCCAACAAGAGCACTAATCTGGCCAATAAAGGAACCATTATGATTCGTATGAGGCCCATTATGGGCAACAAGCGGACAACTGTAGGCAATATGAGACCTGTTATGCAGACAATAAGTTGCATTCTCACCAGCAAGAGAACCATTATTAATAACAAACGACCTCAAGTAATCGCGATTGGACATAGACACATTCGAAACTAGACCTTGGTTAACATTGGCCCCGGATGGCAGGGAACCTTGGTTAAAATTGGGCCCTGAATGAATGTAACCTTGGTTAAACATGGAACCAAATGGCATAAAACCTTGGTTACTCATGTTGTGATTCTGAGAATCACTGACCGAATGAAAGTAAGGGTGATTTTTTTGATACAGTTGAACTGGCTGGTTAGCCCTGTAAAAGCTGTTTACTTGATGTGTACAGGGATTTAAATTGGATGATGACTGACCAACATGCATATCACGAGCCAATGGATGCACACTGATTATTCCTTGTTGATCTTGCGAGACCAAACTCCGGTTAATACAAGGAGGATCCAAAATTGGTTGTGTAGCAGATACTTCAAAGGTATCATTGGATTTACAGCTTTTAGATCTCTTCTGATTTGGACCAACCTTTACATTCGCTTTCCTTATCTTCAGTTCACCCTGCAATGAATTAGCCGGTGAAACATCATGTGATTTTCCATTAGATTTTCCAGCGGCATCCTAAGTCGTTGATCGAACAACATTTCCTGGTTTTGCGAGCGCAGCTTCAAGATTTGACTTTGCCTTCACCTTTGATGCATCATAACCATCAATACAACCAATTTCACTTTCGGGACCAATTTGCTCATTCACCATACTTTTCTTTGGTTCACCCAACATAGATTTATCAGGTGCAAAGCCATTTGAATTTCCATTCAATTTTGCAGAGCCAACCCGAGCCTTTGATCGGACAACCTTTAACTTCACTACTTTTAAAGAGGTATCTTCAACTTTAGACTTGCCCTTACTTTTTGATGCTTCATCACCATCAATATTTGCAACTAACGAATGTTCAATTCTCCGATCAATATAAAATCTTGGAACAATATTGAACTTACAGATACTGTGTGTGCCAAGACCACTACTATGTGCGGCATATGATGTCGAAGGAACATCGCCAAATCTGAAAGGAAGGGTACTATGGTCATTTCACAACAACATATAGTCAATGGATGACTTCTTTTTTTGGTACGACTACAATATAGTACTTTCTATTTTTTTTAAACCCTATTTTTTCTCTACCTTCCTATATGTACTTAAGTAGTATTTTTTTTATTAATATTATTATAAATTATATTTTAAAATTTGGTAAAAAATAACCTTTATTTTTTTTAATAAATATTTATATGAGTTCATTAAACTTTTCATTTTGCAAACAGCTTCATAAAATTAGTATATAAATGTCATGGTAATGACAAGATTGGTGATATATATGTAAACAATAAGTCTACACGTGCGATCACGTAAAGATAAGAAACACAATCGTAACCATGAAACGAATGACAGTCATTTCATATTCAGAAAAAAACAGAAGAAATTATGTACCAATCATTCACAAAAACACAAAAACTGCTCTAAATTGGAAAAAAAAATATTTGAATTACAGTCGTTTTATTCAAACAAAAAAAAAACATGAAAATGTTCCCTCCTCCCGATCATTCACAAAAAGAAACACTCAGTTCGGCCCTCATTGAAAAAAGGTAGAGAAATGAACAAGCAAATAGAGAATTATTAAATTGAAAACAAGCAATATGAAACCCGTACCATTTGAATTGTTGTAGTGATAACTACTCCAATTCCCGTTACATGAAGGGTATTGTAAATCAAGTTATGCACTAGCTGGGGTATAAATCATTAAATTACCAACAAGGGCCATCTGGTGCGGAATTTGGGAGTCATGCTGAGCCTCAAACCCATTAGTCATCACGGCTTGGTTGGGGCATTGACCCGGAAAAAGGCCATTATCAATCATAGATTGGGTTGGATAAAAGCCACTGTTCTGGAGAGATCCATTAATACTCATCTGGGCATTAAGAGGCCCGTTATGGGCAACAAGATGATAGTTGTGGGTAGGGGTGTGAACGAGCCGAGCTCGAGCTCGAGTCTATTTTGTCGAGATCGAGCTCGAGCTCGAGCACGTCGAGTTCTTCTTTTTTTGGCTCGAGCTCGACGTCACGGACTTGTTCCCTTAACAACGAACCGTGCGGCCTTAGCTCCTTCTCGCCCCTCGCGATAGCTAAGTCAGCCTCTCCCGAATGTGTTGCGAATGTTAAGTGATGGAAACGAAGGAAGAACTTAAGAAGATAAGAGAGTTTGTAGGAAAGTACTTTTTATTGCTTAAGTGCTTGTTGGATTTCTTGGATTCTTGTTGGAATGAGTACCCTACCTCTATTTATACTAGACCACCTCCTCAATGGACGGTGGAGATCTATTTGATCTAACGGTTGGGAGTGGTTCACTAGAACACTCCAAAGAATTCCTACAAAAATATCTACAAAGGAGGGTTCTAGAATATTTTCTAGAATCCTCCAAGAATCTCTACTCCTCTATACATTTGGGCCAACTTGGGGCCTAATCCTATTTGGGCTAAATCTTGGGCTTCTTAACCTCCCAACCCAAAGGAAACTCGCAAGGGGTTGGGCCAAAACTAGCGGGTCGTGACATCGAGCTCGTGTTAATTTTGTCGAGCTCGAGCTCGAGCCCAATCTTTTTTTTTTTTAAATTTTTTTAATTATTATTTTATTATTAAAAATTATTTTAAAAAAATACAAAATAAAAACTAAATTGTGATTATATTTTTTTTAATATTTGTATTTATTTTTATAATATTTTATATTATTATACATTATTTAAATAAAAATAACATATAAAAAATAAAAATAATAAAAAAATAATAATAAATCCGGCTCGCGAGCTGATGAACAACTAAAATCCGGCTCGAGCTCGCGAGCTCGAGCTCGAGCTCGAAAACCTCGAGTCCGAGTTCGAGCTTTTTATGAGCCGGCTCGTCGAGCTCACGAGTTGGCTCGGCTCGTTTACCACCCCTAGTTGTGGGCAATAGGAGGCCCGTTGTGAGTAACATGATGAGAGTTGTGGGCATTAAGTTGCCCATTATGGGCAACAACAGGATATTTTTGGGCAACACAAGGACAATAGCATTATGAGTCAAG